TCTAGCCAGGATGAAATTATAGCGTAGTGGTATTTTGCCCAAAAAGAACAATACGAGCACGGAGTGCGAAGATTTTGCGACATGGGGTCCAGGGCCCCGTTCAAGGGCCGCTGGAAATTTTTGACCATATGATGCTTTGTGGTGCATTCTGGGGCATTTCTAATGGGTTAAGCCCAATTATTTTTAACATTTTCTTATTTGAATTTCTGCATTTTTGTTAAAAATCTATTCTGAAGTTAACCTACATGTATGTATTAAAAAGTGAAACTGGTGTTTATTCCCAATTATTTTTGTCAGCAAGGAGATTGCTTTCAAATAAACCTTGTTACACAATCTCAACAGTCAACTTTCAGTGCAAGTTATTATAATTGGGGTTTTGTGTTTAGTTTATGCACAACATGTTTTATTAAAACTAACCAAGTGTTGATAGTAGTAACACTTGGTCTAGGGCTTGTGAATTTTTGTTGATGTACATGTACATGTACCCGTAGTTGCCCTTCAGGCAGGGATGTCTAAAATGTCGTTTCCGAATTCCATTGTCAGTTGCCCTACAAATGTTTTTGCTAACAGTAACAATTTTTTTAATCATTGCTCAGGCCAACTCAAACCATGGTTTTTGTTGATAACTTTGATTACGGATTCACCACTAAAAAAGTCTGATTACACCCCCTCCCCCCAAAAATAACAAATTCGTTTCATCTTTTTGTGCCTTAACCCGGCCTTGCTGGTACTTGGTGCCATTCTCTGCGCTGGACACATGGTGTGATGGTGTGTTCCTTGTCCATGCGACTGCTGGATTGCAATCATATTCTATGCCTGTGGCGAGAATTATAACTGTAGCTGAAATTTTCAGACTTGGTCGACTACAAGTGCGTTTGTTGTGTGAGCGAATAAATGTCGCTGCACATACACGTACATGTACATGTACATGTATCATACGGTACATGCAGGTATGAAGGCCTACCAACATAAAACATAACGAATCTCAGATCTGATAAACTTATCATCGCCATACAAGTACATTCCACAATAACGTTTTTTTGTTTTTTTTTAAAAGAAGAGAAAACGGAAAAGCCTTGTGTTCTGTCCAAAGACAAACACACACATTACAGGTTACTGTTTTTATGTTATTCCAAAGGGATAAAAATTGAGCATGTGACTCGGCTACTGCTCATCCAGATATTAATTGGTATCCAAAAATGAGACCCATAATACATATGTATGGGTCGAGAACACCTATAAAATTTAAATTTGTACAAACACAGTACAAACAGAGCTTCTGGCATATTATGGGGTTAATTAACACAAACTGCGAAACACTTAAAATGTATCTTACTGACAAGCCGTGTTTGCACTGGACTTTACCACGAGAGTTACTGAGTAGCTGAATGTCACGCTCGTCTCTGTGCACAGACTCTAAATTTCTTGGTAATTTTGCTTGGGGTTCTTCACAGTAGTAGCAAAACTGTTTTTTGTCCCACTTCCTACATGTCCCATCGTTGTTGGTTTTTTTTGGCAACTTTAATTGAATTTGTTGAGGATATTTCACTGTTGCCTGGAGTCGAATTTGCTTTTGCAGCAGCAGAATTCAGGTTGCCACTTGAGGTTGCCTCGGTGATCAATACGGAAGAACTTGTGGAAACATTAAACTGACATCTTGCTGCCAGAGGAATCACATATGACTCTGCAGAATCGGACCCCAAGCTAGAGTCTGGAACAAATTCACTTTCAGTTTCTACCTCTTTTGATGAAGTGCCCTCCGATAGCTCATCCAACAACTTGTTCTTTGATATTAAAGTTTGGCGGGTCTGTCTTTTACACTAATGAGGTAAAAATTGAGAAATCAACATGAAATGAATTTACAATTCATTGTCCAATTTTCTGTTTTAATACAAAATCACAAATCTCGGGGTGGCCCCGGGGTGACACTGGGGTGAAAATAAACCACATTTCACACTTGAAATAATCAACCCTGCGTCACCCCCCGAGATTGCTCATCCCTGGGGCCAGTTGAACCCTGGTCTTATCCCCGGGGCGATCGAGACACTTTTCCGGAAAATAAGTATGATTTGAGAAGAGCAAGTGGGAATCGACGTGGGGTTGAACCCGGGGATTCAAACCGGGTTGGCCGTGAGGCAGCCCCGGGGAAAGATTGCCTCGGGGATGGATGAGCTAGTGAGAAAAGGCCTATTTAAAGGTTATAATGTTGCATGCATGACCCAAGTTTGATTGCAATTGGACTTTAAGTTTCAAAATGAGACAAGTGTTACAATTTAAGCCTATATATTCTAAGAACTTTCCTTCAAATGACCTTTGACCGCAGTATTTGACCTTTAACACAACCTGATATGAATCCATGATCCTTTGCATCAGACCATTTTTGTTTACAAAACTTCAACCAAAATTGCAATAACTGGAACATGCACACATTTACATACAGACTGAATAGGGACTACATTTTGTTTTTACATGTATACGTACATTGTACCATAGAGCATGGACCCAAGGAGTCAGAACTCTTGGGCGATTTACATTTTGACCATTAACATACCAATCCCTCGGGAATGTCTATAGCTACAGCACTGTGACCGCAAGCCTCGACCATTCAAAGCGTGAATGCCAGCGGCCTTTGAACACGATGATCATCGCCGCCTTTTTAGTTGGTAACCAACAACCTCCCTATGTGCTGCATAATAAGTCATGTCACGTCGCTGCTCTTTTTTGAAAAATATATTTTACGACAAGATAGGTTTTTACAACTGCGCAGTTGTTAGATGTGAGTTATGAACTCAAGTTAGCAATGTGCAGTTGTTGGTGCTTAAAAGCGTTATCTGCCCCTGTAATTTGGAGATAAATTGGATTTCTTTCAGATAAAGTTTTCATGTATTTTCATACATTTTAATTGGCAATATATCATTGATGACGTGTTTTTTTGGAAAATTTCACAAGTTTTCTCACTAAAGGTACAGAGCATTTTGTTCTTCATGAAATGATTGTTTCAGTGATGTTGACCACATTGTTAGCCAGTATAGCCAACTCCGAACAAACACTTCAAAATCATTCATTTTTAGCGATGTATGACAACTGCGCATGCGTATTTACCATGGTACTGTCTACGAAGCCATGCAAACTCCTTTTTTTGGCATTAGTGAGCATCATCATTCATTCGGCTGCGGAGCAGGCGACCACAAGTTTCCTCCAGTTGCTGCGATCCTGGGCTAAGGATGTAATTTGGTCCGGTTGCAGGTAACCCTCATGGTCTCCAAGAAGGCTCTTGATATATCTTGAATATAATGTTCGCTGTCGGCCAGGCTTTCTTTTACCATGCGGTGGAGTGTACAGTGCATAAACCTTCGCCGGCTCATCGTTGGGCATGCGCAGTACATGCCCCAGGAATTTCAGCTGGCGGGTTCTTAGCTGGACTACAAGAGGGACTGTGTTGGTCAGGTTGTAGATAGTTGTGTTTGGAATTCTGTCCATTCGCCTGATGTTCAACATGATGCGGTAACATGATGTTGCAAAGGCGTTAATTTTATCTTCCATATCATGTGTGATGACCCATGTCTCACAACCATACAGAAGTACTGTAACACAAGTTGTTTTAAACAGCTTCACTTTGGTAGATATTGGTATAACTGAGCTCCTCCAAAGGTGTTCCAGTTTCCAAAATGCTGACCGGACCAGAGCTTTTTGCCTCTTCAGATCACTAGCACTGGATCCCATCATGGATCCCAGGTATCTGAAGTCAGACACATGGCTGATGGGATTGCCGTAAACTTCAAGTGTTGGCTGATGGTTGCAATTTAGGGTCATGTATTCTGTCTTGGTGACACTTATCGTAAGACCAAGATCTGCAGCTGCTGTAGCAGTCCTGGAGAGCTGTGACTGAGCCCGAGATATTGATGATTCTAGTAGGGCAATGTCATCGGCAAAGTCCAAATCATTCAACATCTTGGCTGGATGTCTCCTAGATCGACGTGGGTGAGTCACAACTCCTGAATCTTCGGTTGACGACGCCGCCTTCAACAGGTAGTCAACAATTATGATAAATAGGAAGGGAGCGAGAACATCGCCCTGAAGAACTCCAGTTGTTACTTGGAATGGATCTGATATACTTCCATCTACCATGACTGCACTGCTTGAGTTGTTGTACAGAACTTGGATGGCGTTAACCAAGGGCTCAAGGATGCCGTAATGTCGCAATACGGCAAACATAACAGTCCTGTTAATGGAGTCGAAGGCCTTCTTGAAGTCGATGAAAGTGACTGTCAGTGGGAGTTGGTATTCCTTGAAACCTTCCATAATCCTCCTCAGGATATGTATTTGCTGAGCACAACTACGTCCTGATCTGAAGCCGGCTTGGTTGCTCCTCAGAAGTGGCTCTATGTAAGAACGTATTCTGTTCAAGAGAATTTTGTTGTAAACTTTTGCAGCTATGGACATGAGTGAGATACCCCGGTAGTTTGTCATGAGAGATAAGTCACCTTTCTTAGGCAAGGGAATGATGACATTTGATACCCACTGATGTGGTGGAGATAGGGTTGTGTAGACTTCAGCACAGAAGGCATGGATGGTATCACGCATGAAATCGCCACCTCCCTGCAGTGCTTCTGCTGTGATAGCGCAGTCCAGTGCTGCTGCCTTGTTTACTTTCATGGCTGCTATAGCTTCAGCTGTCTCTTCACGTGTAGGGGGGTCAATGAAGATAGGCAGGTCCTCAGCAGCTGGTGGTGGTAATTGTGGTGTTGATAGACCAGGATTATTTAGAAGTGAGCTGAAGTAATCCTTCCACTCCTCGAGCAACTCTTGGTCGCTAGTAGGGGCTGATCCGTCCCTCTTCTTGACCTTGACTTTTTGCTTGGAGTTCTTCCCAGAGAGGGTGTGGATGATTTTCCAAGTGGTGGTGTAGTTTCCATTTTGGTCAGCTAGTTTTAGCTCCTCCATCTGCATGTTGAGTGAAGCAGCTTCATCAGCCTTGTAGGACTCATTAAGTCTGGTGTTCAGGTTCCTCCATCTTCTCTAGATTGACGAGACTTTGAAATGGAGTACTTCTTCTTGGCATCATCCCTTTCAACTTTCAGTCGGATGGTCTTGTCTGATACCCAACTTGGCATTCCACAAGTCTCACGCTTGCCAACCACTGTCTCTGCAACTTCCTTGACCGCTGTCTCAAAGTGTGCATATCTATCTGTAAGACTTGGTGTGTCTTCCACATTAAGAACTTGGAATCGATTTGATAGCTCCAATTGAAACATCTCTCTCGTGACAGGATCCTGCAGCTTCTTCCAGTTGAACTTAGGTCTCTTGCAAGGTTTCCCTTTGCTAGTTCTCAGACTGGTGACAAGCCGAATGCTGACGATACGATGGTCAGAATCCAATTCTACCGAGTTGTAAGCACGGCAGTTGCGGAGAGAGTTGATCCACTTGCTGTTGATTAAGATGTGATCCAGTTGATATACTGATCCAGCTGGATGAGACCAAGTCCACTGGCGGCTTCTTGGTTGTGGAAATCTCATTGGAGCAGGTCTCATCTTATGTTCCTGGCACAGGTTGACCAACCGCTCGCCATTGTCATTTGTGGTATTATGGTGGCAATAGCCTCCAATAACCTCGGGGTGAGAGGTGACTGTCTAGCCCAACTCTGGCATTGAAATCGCCAAGGACAAGGTAGATATTGTGCCTCTTAACTTGGTCTAGATAGTCCGTGAGGGATGTATAGAAGTCATCTTTGTCTGGCGTTGGTGAACAATCTGTAGGTGCATACACAACAGTGATGCTCAACTGAGGATTGCCGTGGAAAGATGCAGAGAGGATTCTCTCAGAGACGGATTCAACACTTTGCAGGCACCTAAAGATGTGTCCAGACATGAGTAGACCCACACCTCCTTGCCTCTGTTTGGTTGCTGAACTTTAGACCATGACCCAGTTTCTATCGTCTGACCAAATTTCCTCTGTGGAGTTGGATGTGATGAGCCTGTGCTCTTGGATTCCGATGATGTCAACGCCTGCATCTGCACAGCCCATGAAGAGTTGGTGAATTTTACCTTTCTGATGTAAAGTACGCACATTATATGTAGATATAACAAGAGGTTCGAAGGCAGACAAGCGACCTTTATCAAGACCAACAGTCCGGGATGTTCTACCGGTTTCCCGCTGATCCGTCATGGAGTCGTCTGTAGACAGCCGCCCGGCTACCTTCATAGTTTTACGCGGATTCTTCTTTGTGGTTTTCGTAATCGATTGGATTGCTGGAATTGTTTTAGTCCGGATCCAGCAGCTGCACGGGTGATTGGCCCTGAGACAGCTTGTTTCCGGAGACACAGCAGCCGAGCTCTACTGAATATGATGTAGATCGCCTCTGGTCAGGAACATGTTAGCCAGAGGTGGAGAAATAACTTATGATGACATGTTCAACATCAGTCCAACTAGACTAGATGGGTTGCTGATCATAGCTAACGAGCCCCACCTGCCCGGGTTTGAGATCAGAGTTCCTTCTCCTAGGTGAGCTGCCTCCCATGGCTGACGAGCCCCACCTGCCCGGAGCAATCTGGTTTTAAGGCGCCAGACACTCGCCTTTCACACCTCTGCCATCGGTTAAAAACAGGGGTCGGCGCGCGAAGCCAAGCAGTAGGAGTTTGATTAGGAGAGGCTATTAGAGACGCTGGCCGTGTGGGATACTTCATGGATAGGGAGAGGCTCAGTTCTCCCTACAATCCCGACCATTCCTAACCCTTTGACCCCCATTAGTGAGCACGGATCTCTATTGTGTCGAGATTAGCGTAGTGAGCAACTGAGCAACTGGCGCCAGGTGCTTTCTATTGTAGCTTTCGAGCGCGGCGACCATCATTTTAACTTTTGAAGTATTGGAGGACGAACTCCTTGGGTCCTTGCTCTATGATTGTACTATGTACAGAAGATGGTGATTGCATAATCTTTTTGTACTTTGTTCAGGTGAGACAATAATACCATGTTATACAGGTCCTGAAGGAAATTCTAAGCGAGCTTAATTCAATGTTCAATTTCAAGCCATCTGAAAAAATCCTTGAAAGACACATCTATGGTTTGACAGCAAATATGTTCCATTAGTTATACTTTATACTTATCATACGTACCAATTCCGAAACACACTGTAAAGGATACAGGAAGTGTCTGACTTGTACTTCACAAACAAAGATATTGACAAATTGGGAGACAACCATTATAGGGCTGATCATGCAGCTCCTAGACTCAAAACCCAGTGAAGTCAATTTCTTTGCTCAGAAGTTCAAGTCCATATAATACTATTGTAAACATTTAACACATACAGACAACTGACCTTGCTATGACTTGCAAGTTCCCTCTGATATGGTTCAGTACCATCTATGCCGGCCACTGCCTCCATCACCTGTGACGAGGAAGGTGCCTCGCAGCTTTCAGGCTGAAAAAAAGAAGAAATGCACGAAAACAGTTTAACAGGGCAACCTTTCAATTACTTAATGACAACATAATTACATTTTACTACATCAGGACATTGGGTATGGAGAAGTGGCGAACGACTCCTTCACCCAGCAACCACATACACTCAGTGAAGACAAACGCAAACTGACAACAGCATTCCTGACCATAGCCATTGCATCTCCCCTTCATCAAGGGGTTATTTAGTCTATATACATGTAAAACTAAATACAACTGACCTTGCTATGACTTGCAAGTTCCCTCTGATCTGGTTCAGTACCATCTACGCCTGCCACTGCCTCCATCACCTGTGACGAGGAAGGTGCCTCACAACTTTCAGGCGAAATACTCTCAATCTAAAAAAAAAAGGTGTTCACCCGGTTACTTTAAATAAACCACAAAACCCTTGGTAATTATAAAGTGGTGTTTTTGTATAACTTTTAACACTGGTCAGCCGATCAGTGTTGGGAAAGACCTGGCTTTTACAAATACTGTCCCCGATCTACCTTGTTTATTAGTCAGTCTGTATTTTGTTTGCAATCAACCACATAACCCATGAATGAGTACAAGCCAGCTGGAATGTTTCTCTGACCTTGAAATTTCCAGATGTGTATGAATTGCTCATTTCAATTTAAGTGGGGTCAGGGAACCAGACTACGAGGACATTACATTATTGGGGTTTCTTTTCCAGCAGGTTCGAACACAAAACTTCAAACAAGTCAGTGAAACAATATTTTCAACAAAATACTAACCCCCCAAATCCATCAATTTCTGAAAATCACGGAAAAAGCAAATGATGTACATGTATATATTCCCTTCAATGGGGCCCTCTTGCTTGATTTTTCATTCCAACAAAAGTTTTTCACGTCTTTGGGCATTGGCTTTTTTGTGTTTCAGAAAGCAGAATTCCAGATACAGCCATTTCTTTTATCAATCAACGGCCTTTTTTCTGTGTTAAATCCCATAGATCACAGGATATATGCGACTAGATGGCACAAAGGGGTGCCTTCTAATTCTATTAGTACAATTTGTGGATAAGCGTTATCCATATGCACTTACAGTGCATATTTAGGTAAAAGAAGCTTTTCGTCGACATGAAACCATTACAAATTAAGCACTGTATTATCATAAAAAATAAAACATACATATTTGAATTTTACAAATACCTGGTGGTCAAAGAGTGTCCTGGTGCACCCATCTGTCACATATTTCACTTGAAACTTCCCTGAAAATTTTATAAGGGAATTATGAACTGTGTTTATTTTTCTTTTATAGAAAGAAAAGCAAATAGAGAAAGAAAACGTGACAATTTTGCCAGGGTAGAATCTTTGGTAATTCCAAAAGGCTGAAATGTGGACATTTTTCTTGCACAACAATTGTGGTGCAAATCAGAGGGGACAGAAAAATCTTTCATTTGGAACTAAAACTTCTTGACATCGGATGTCGGGTATACTCGCAAAAGTTTTGCTATTCAGAACGGATGGCGGGTAAACACGCAGTGTGCAAGGATGGAAATATCTGTGTGCCAGGCCGCTTGCAACGAGTCTGACCAGAAATATCCCAGTGCTACCCACAGATGATGGCCTGGGCCTGTACTGGCATCAAGGTTGTGAACAAAAGATGTGCCTGGTCTGGCCAATGTCAAAAATAATGCGGTGCAAGATTAAATAAAGTCATTGACATATGAAATATTATACAACACAAGCTCTTGTCCTTGTCTGCAATGTACATATCCGGCTGCTTTATTTTGAAGGCTTTTATAAGTGCTTTCATGAACTTTCTCGCAAGTTTAATGTTTAAAAGAAGCTTTAAAAATTACCTTTCTTCAAACAAAAATCAGTAACATGTGCTTGGTGCCAGGAGCCACCAGGTGGCCACAATGCCAAGACAGCTTCTCCTATTTGGACCTACAAGATAAAAGAAAACAAAAAGAATGCAACTTTATTCAATATTCGGTTTTGCCCTTCACTTACATTTTTTATGAACAAAACAGTCTTGTCGAGATATGAGAAATGTACATGGGACTCGCACTCATGCATGTCATGACCTCTTGATTTCTAATAAAGACGCCTCACCACTCAACCATCGGATGTTTGCATCACCATCACCCTGATATGTATATTCTATCTATATTTGAATAACATGCAATTTTAATGCAGGTTCATTCTACTGTCAAATCACCCCAAAAGTTAAAATTTACACCCCAGTGACCCCGCTCCTTCACATTAGTTCATATTTATTTTATAGGGTTATTTTGGGTAAAAAGAGCCAACAATTTCAAGCTTCAGCAGCATCAGGCCAGCGTTTTTTTTGCGCTACCGCCTGCTTTTTATGTCAAAATGGGTGTGGTTGCCAAAATCAAAGGACCATACATGTACGGTACCTCCCTAATAACCTGTTGACCACATTTGCTGATTTTGATTTCTTTGGAAAGGTATTCATAGGTAACCCAGTTTTTAACAGAAAATGCAATCAAAATATATTCCAGGTGGTGAACTTTGTAAAGAAATACAGAAGTAGTGAAGGTTCAAAATTGTTTCCAACAAGGTGGGGATGTGGCCACGCTCAAACTTATCCCTGAAATTGAAATATGCATATTAGGTGAACAGCCCCGCTCATTATGAGATTGTTGCAACGTTTTCTCTTTACATCACGTCATCTGGATTTTGGCTGATTATGGCCCGACTCGGTTCATTTTTAAGAATGAACTCATTATTTCTCGGCTATAGCACATACACAATCATGCTACGATGATAAACAAAGATGGCTGCTATATTTTTCAGTATAAAGCGTCAAAATCGGTGAAGTTTGCGATGAGTGTTGATAGTTTAAAAAAAATGTTTGTGAGCTGAAACTTCTTAGCATCTGGGGGAGTTGTTTTAATCCTTTATTTCTTGGAATCTTGCGTACAAATTTGGAATCTTGAATACTCTACGAATCACCTTTTTTAACATTTGGAGATGGTCGGGCGATAGTAAGGTCCATGGATCATAAAATAGGATGGGTTGCCGTATTATCGCGGTACTTACCAAATTTCTCATTTGGAATAGAGACTGCCTACTAACCTTCCCGAATTGTCCTGTCTTTTCTGTTGTATAACTCTTCCTTTTCAAATTGATATAAACAAATCTGACGGTGGTGTGGTTTATTCCGTATAAGATGCCTGTGAAAATAGACATGCTCGGACGCGGAGTGTGCGAACAGAGGTGGACTTCCTATTATCACAGTATGCAGGAAGTGTTTTTTTTATAATGATCTCAACTTTTTTATTTATAGTTAATATTTGACCAAAACATCCCCTGAATAAAGTCTGATATTTTCCCTGTAACGTTCAACTCAAGTTGATTAAAGACTAAATGTCTGCAGGATGATTTCTTAAGACCCTGCCCTTCCCCCGAAAGGAGAACACAAATCCCTGAGGCAAGTCTACTGATTGTCGATTGGGGGCACCATTCACTCTAGTCTACACGGTGTGCCGTTTTATTTTTGTTAACGCGCTGTGCTTATTTTGATTCCGTAAACGTTTTTACGATTTCGTGGTGCAAATATCGTTCTTTGACTTCATTTTACATTTGCAGCTGAAGACTGGGAACCAGACAATGGAACTTTCATGGACAGAGCACCATTAAAGATTTATGTTAAAATATAGACGGTAGTTTTTAGGGAAAATTAGCAAGTTTTGGAAAATGTTAAATTAATATTTAATGAAAAGTCCCAAACATGCCAAAAGACACATTTTTTAATCGTCGTTTTTATACAATTCGGCAAAAAGTCCTTAATGACTGGTGAACTGGACAAAAATTGCCACTTGAAGGAGTTTTGGCAAACCAAAAAGAGAAATTTCCCATGCCGCGATAATCTATAGGGAGTCAGACTATAGCCTATACATCATGTATAAATGTAGGCCTACATCATGTCGCTGTTGTGCCCATTCTTGAATATCACGCATTCTTAAGAATGTGCATGCACATTCATAAGAATGTGCATGCACATTCTTAAGAATGTGCAACTGGATCCTTGCGCAATCTTTGCAAAAAATAACTCTTCCAGATTGAGCGCACAAGATAACGGTCTTGTCGATGCCGAGCACCGGCTGCGCATGGCAAGTCTAGCTGCATCCTCGTTCACTGATTCTCAATAATTATACTGTTGCAACGCAAGTCGCTGAAAAGTAGAGTGGATATGATAAGTATAGGCGTATTGATATGGGGGGGGGACCTGGAAAAAATAAGAGACATAATAATACTAGTGGAAAGAATTCTGATTTTTGGGATATTAAAAGCGGGGAGGGGGGGGGGACGTAGAATGAAGAATGTGAAGAATGAGATTGAATACTGCGACATCCCATAGTGCTATTGCTGGATTCTATCTAGTCAAAAGAGCAATTTCGGCAGCTTCTGGACATCGTTTTTTTTTCGTGGCATAAATATGATACATATAGGGACTTGTAACTTGTCTAGCCTAAACAAAGCACTTCCCAGACTAGTTCCCAGTCCTCCGTTATTACAAAACTTCCCATAGTGGGCAAAAAAAGCAATAATAACAGGTTTAATTTGATTCAAATTATCGTAGTTATACGAGTACAGAAGCACATTTTCTTTCCTCTTTATATAAATTGTTTCCCTTTTAACCGCTATACATTTCATTTAACAATAACATAATTATGTCGTGCAATGTTTGTTAAGATTGGGCAAAATTCATAAACTGTGCACGTGATATTCCCACCCAATCTTAAGAATGAGCGCTCATTCTTAAGAACGCGTGCTCGTTCTTAAGAATGGGCGCTCATTCTTATGAATGCGCGCACATTCTTAAGATTGCGTGATTTTCAAGAATGGGCACAACATCGCTAACAAGTACCATAGTCCATACCAATAACCGTTTGACCATTTTCTCACTCGTAGGCCTACCCCCAATCAAAATCTTCAGATTATTTCACCCGAAAACAGTCCTCAAACTGCCTAATGCGCCCCTGTAGGCTTCAGTGGGAATTGAAAATACAAATAATGGTGGTTAGGTTCACATACCTTTGGGGAGAAAAGAGACATTTTACTTTCAATTGGGAAACCGATTCTCGTTTTCCTGGCATGCATGTGGGATGCCATCTTGAATTCAAAATGGCTTCAAACTCCACATGGGTCATTCCATGTCAGACCAACGCACTTTTTTACCTCATGTCTTCCGATTTTGATAAAAATTGCTGTGCTTGTAGGTCCTAATGAGCAATGAATACACACCAATTTTTAGCCCGATCCGACCTATTATGTGGTCAGGGCAGAAGCCACAAAAAAATGGCATTTTTAGAGTAAAATACCACCCTTTTGGTATAAATATGTCAAAACTGTGGCAATTTTCATCGAATATATGTGAATTTGTTATTAAAATAATGAGGATTGCATGCTCAAATTACTTCTTTTGTCAAAATTAAATTTTGTGAAAAGTAGGTCACATGACCTTAAATATGCTATCGTGACCTTTGACCCATTTGACCCATTTTTTGTAATAATGTATCATTCCGAAAATCAACGAAATCAAAATAACTTGCTAGAGCATGTCTCTCTCTATCAGAATCTACTAAAAATCAGTTGGGGTCTTCAAAATTTACAACTTTATGACTATTTTTGTACAGTTGGTAGGTTACAAATGAGTCAATTTATAGACTTTACATAAGAAATACACCAACACAACTTACTATTCTGTTTCTAAAGTTACTAAAATATATCTTGGTTTGTGAATTTCTCATTCTGAGGGCTGATGAGGTCTAACCAGACTCATAGTGTAAATTATCAGCAGTGGCGCACCCAGGATTTGGCTTTTGGTGGGGGGGGGGGGGGCGGGGGGTCATAAATCGTTTTTTGTTCAAATTTCTGTACAAGATTGGACCAACAAAAACTAGCCTAAAATCAAACAAACAAATTGACAATGTTGGGGGTGGGTTTCAAGCCCCCCCCCCCTCCTGGGTGCCACTGATAATTAGTTATCCCACGAGCGCGCTTGGAATATGAAATAATGCAATGATGCTGTGACCCATATGCCACTCGATGCACTACATAATTCCGTGTTCCACGAGCGCAAGTGGGATTTATAACCAATTTATCTTCAAGCAAACTTGATATCAAATGCGTACACACGGTGAAGATGTACGTGCATACATGTAGTGTATTGGTCCGTTCAGCAGGAAATAACACAACATATGTACACGTACATTTTTAA